GGCCTGGAGACCTGTGTAGGAACAGCTGTTGGGAGTCCACTAATCACTCTCAGAGAAACAGTATTCCCACTACTTGAATCCCAGGTCACAGAGCGACACAGAATTCAGCCTTCTTGTAGCCTGCCATCTTGGATCTCCCTTAGTTTAGGATTTTTTACATTTATTTTGGTGAGATTATTCTTTTATGATCCCTGTCTGGTTTGGGTTTCATGGCCAATTTCAACTCTGTTTGCTTCTTTTCTGTTCTCTGTAATAGTATGTTTAAAACGGAATTGTCTTTCTTGTTTGGTTGAATTCACATATAAATTCCATTCAGATCTGATGGTTTTTCCTTTCTTCTTTGTTATTTTCCTTCCTCTTTTTCTGTCTTCTCCATTTTAAAAAGTGGGTTGATTCTATGTCTTTCATGATTATAGTTCTGTTGGAGTTTTTTATTTCTTGAACTTTTTCTACATTTGTATTTTTCTCAAAATTGTCCACTATTTTCAAATTTATTTGTAGTTGCAGTACTATCTTTTAGCCTTCACAACCTATAATTATGTTTTTAAAAATTCATAGTGTTTATGCCTTTTATTCTTTTTTAGACTTAACAAAGACATGTTTATTTTGTAAATAATTCCAAAGAATTATCTTTTGTCAATTCTCTATTGAGTATCCTCTGTTAACTTCTTTTTATCTGTGCTTCCTTCATTTTTGTTCTCTAATGTAATGAGTTAGATACTTAGATCTTTCTTGCTATTTTCTAATGTCAGCAGATTGTAGCTATAATTTTCCTTCTGAGTCTTTCTAGTTGTAGTTCACAAATTTTTAATGTGTGGTATTTGGTAATCATTCACTGTAAATGCATTTTAATTTATGCATTTTAATTTAATTTTTAAATTAAAATTAAATTTTAAGAAATTAAAATATTAAAGAAATTAAAATATCTGAGATATTTATAAATATTTGTAAGTAAAAGAATGAATGCAGGGATACAGTTTAAAAGTTGACACTGAATAATGTTTTTTTTTTAAATACCTGCTGAAATTATTATACATCTATAGATAGTTATGTTAACAGTTTAAATTCAGAATTTAAATCTTTGTTGACAGTGTAGGGTTGATATTGTTTTTGTCTGCAATGGAAAACAATGAAAATATTACTAGAATAAAAATACTCTTTGTTTTTGTGAAGTTTATATTTCAGATATAAAGGATTTAAAATCATTTTTACATATTCATTTCTGATTTAATTGAAGCATCACTAGGAAAACATGAATACTTGGTTTTCTTTGACATTTGTGGAGACCTAATTTTGAGTTCAGATGATTATTCTGTGCATTTGTGTGCTTGTATGCATGTATGTGAATGTTTTATATTTGTTTGAAAATAATATGCAGTATTTGTGAGGCTTAGGTTTTCTTTTTTTTTTTATTTTTATTTATTTATTTTTTTAAATTTTTTTTTAAATTTTTTATTGTTGGTTGTTCAAAACATTACAAATTTCTTGACATATCATATTCCACACTTTGATTCAAGTGGGTTATGAACTCCCACCTTCACCCCATACACAGATTGCAGAATCACATCAGTTACACATCCATTGATTTACATATTGCCATACTAGTGTCTGTTGTGCTCCGCTGCCTTTCCCATCTTCCACCATCCCCCCTCCCCACCTCTCCCCTCCCTTCCCCTCCTCTCTCTCTACCCCCTCCACTGTATAACCCTGAGGGTCTCCTTCCATTTCCATGCAATTTCCCTTTTCTCTCCCTTTCCCTCCCACCTCTCATCCCTGTTAAATGTTAATCTTCTTCTCCTGCTCTTCGTCCCTACTCTGATCTTAGTTACTCTCCTTATATCAAAGAAGACATTTGGCATTTGTTTTTTAGGGATTGGCTAGCTTCACTTAGCATAATCTGCTCTAATGCCATCCATTTCCCTGCAAATTCTATGATTTTGTCATTTTTTAATGCAGAGTAATACTCCATTGTGTATAAATGCCACATTTTTTTTTTATCCATTCGTCTATTGAAGGGCATCTAGGTTGGTTCCACAGTCTTGCTATTGTGAATTGTGCTGCTATGAACATCGATGTAGCAGTGTCCCTGTAGCATGCTCTTTTTAGGTCTTTAGGGAATAGACCAAGAAGGGGAATAGCTGGGTCAAATGGTGGCTCCATTCCCAGCTTTCCAAGAAATCTCCATACTGCTTTCCAAATTGGCTGCACCAATTTGCAGTCCCACCAGCAATGTACAAGTGTACCCTTTTCCCCACATCCTCGCCAGCACTTGTTGTTGTTTGACTTCATAATGGCTGCCAATCTTACTGGAGTGAGATGGTATCTTAGGGTGGTTTTGATTTGCATTTCTCTGACAGCTAGAGATGGTGAGCATTTTTTCATGTACTTGTTGATTGACTGAATGTCCTCCTCTGAGAAGTGTCTGTTCAGGTCCTTGGCCCATTTGTTGATTGGGTTCTTTGTTCTCTTATTGTCTAATTTTTTGAGTTCTTTGTATACTCTGGATATTAGGGCTCTATCTGAAGTGTGAGGAGTAAAGATTTGTTCCCAGGATGTAGGCTCCCTATTTACCTCTCTTATTGTTTCTTTTGCTGAGAAAAAACTTTTTAGTTTGAGTAAGTCCCATTTGTTGATTCTAGTTATTAACTTTTGTGCTATGGGTGTCCTATTGAGGAATTTGGAGCCCGACCCCACCGAATGTAGATCGTAGCCAACTTTTTCTTCTATCAGATGGCGTGTCTCTGATTTGATATCAAGCTCCTTGATCCATTTTGAATTCACTTTTGTGCATGGCGAGAGAAAGGGATTCAGTTTCATTTTGTTGCATATGGATTTCCAGTTTTCCCAGCACCATTTGTTGAAGATGCTATCCTTCCTCCATTGCATGCTTTTAGCCCCTTTATCAAATATAAGATAGTTGTAGTTTTGTGGATTGGTTTCTGTGTCCTCTATTCTGTACCATTGGTCCACCTGCCTGTTTTGGTACCAGTACCATGCTGTTTTTGTTACTATTGCTCTGTAGTATAGTTTGAAATCTGGTATCGCTATACCGCCTGATTCACACTTCCTGCTTAGCATTGTTTTTGCTATTCTGGGTCTTTTATTTTTCCATATGGATTTCATGATTGCTTTCTCTATTTCTACAAGAAATGCCGTTGGGATTTTGATTGGCATTGCATTAAACCTATAGAGAACTTTTGGTAATATCGCCATTTTGATGATGTTAGTTCTGCCTATCCATGAACAGGGTATATTTTTCCATCTTCTAAGATCTTCTTCTATTTCTCTCTTTAGGGTTCTGTAGTTTTCATTGTATAAGTCTTTCACCTCTTTTGTTAGGTTGATTCCCAAGTATTTTATGTTTTTTGAAGATATTGTGAATGGAGTGGTTGTCCTCATTTCCATTTCAGAGGATTTGTCGCTGATATACAGGAATGCCTTTGATTTATGTGTGTTGATTTTATATCCTGCCACTTTGCTGAATTCATTTATTAGCTCTAATAGTTTCTTTGTAGAGCCTTTTGGGTCTGCTAGGTATAGAATCATATCATCTGCAAATAGTGATAATTTAAGTTCTTCTTTTCCTATTTTTATGCCTTTAATTTCTTTCGTCTGTCTAATTGCTCTGGCCAGTGTTTCGAGAACTATGTTGAACAGAAGTGGTGAGAGAGGGCATCCCTGTCTTGTTCCAGATTTTAGAGGGAATGCCTTCAGTTTTTCTCCATTGAGAATGATGCTAGCCTGAGGCTTAGCATAGATTGCTTTTACAATATTGAGGTATGTTCCTGTTATCCCTAGTTTTTCTAGAGTTTTGAACATAAAGGGATGCTGTACTTTGTCGAATGCTTTTTCCGCATCTATCGAGATGATCATATGATTCTTATTTTTAAGTCTATTGATGTGGTGAATAACATTTATTGATTTCCGTATATTGAACCAGAGGCTTAGGTTTTCTATATGTTTTTTTTTTAGAGAGAGAGAGAGAGAGAGAGAGAGAGAGAGAGAGAGAGAGAATTTTTTAATATTTATTTTTCAGTTTTTGGCAGACACAACGTCCTTGTTTGTATGTGGTCCTGAGGATTGAACCCGGGCCACACGCATGCCAGGCGAGCGCGCTACCGCTTGAGCCACATCCCCAGCCCATTCTATATGTTTTTTAACTCAGTGCCCTTCAGCCATTTATCTGTTGCCTAAAATATCTGATAAAATCATATAGCCATGCACATTTTATGTTTACAGTAAAGATGCTGATCTTAAAGTCTTTATAAGAAAAAAAAATAAAGGTGAAAGGGATGTAATTACTAGTGGATTGTATAAAACTTTTCATTTTAAAATGAAACCATTTCATCATTCCATCATTCTTTTAAAAGTGTTGCATGATTTCTAAATATTTTAATGATTTGATACTCTCCATATCAATAAAAACACACACATATGTACATACACAAATAGGCTTCCCTTCAATTAAAGGAAACTTGAACATATGAATTAAGCTTTCTACAGAAGACAATTAAAACTGGATTTAAAAAAAACTGCATGAAGGATGGGTGTGAGTGTGTGTGTGTGTGTGTGTGTGTATCTGTGTGTGAGATGATTATTGGGATATTTTGTTGTTGTTTGTTTTTTGTTTTTATATATATTTAATCACTAGGCAGTACTGGTGATTAAACTTAGGAGTACTCTACCATCGGCCTGCATCCCTAGCTCTTGTATTTTTTTGAGACAGGGTCTTGCTAATTTGCCGAGGCTGCTGAAGATGGTCCTGAACCTGAGATCTTCCAGCTTCAGTTTCCTAAATACCTGGGATTACAGGTGTATGTCACCACACCCAACTCAACAGTCATATTTTAATAATATGGAGCATAAAAGGTGTCTGATTAAAAGTTCAGTTTTAAATGTTGTTGTACCAGAAGATTTCAATTGCTACTGCATTTTCTTCTGATTTCTAACAGTTTTTTTAAAACTATCTGTAATCATTTTTATTTCTGCTTCTTTTCTAGGTATCACACCTGTGTATCATAATATGTTTGCTTTAATGAGTGAAACAGACAGGATCTGGTACCCCCCCAACCACGTCTTCCATATAGATGAATCAACAAGGCATAATGTACTCTACAGAATAAGGTACTTTATTGTTTATGATGTACAGTGACTTACTTTTTGGAAAAAGGGCAAAGTGTGAGAGAGTTCCAGCTATATAATTTGATAATTATAATGTTTTTTGGTGAGTTGCCACTTAACCCCTTTAGATTATAATTAGTGAAATGAAATTTAATAAAAAGGGATGGGATTGGCCTTTATTAGTAAAATTCAAAATGTTTAGAATATTGCTGATGTCCCAGGAAATTTGATGTTTTATGCATTAAAATATGGCCTCACATTTCTTCTTTCATAAATAACTTTTTTGAAAAGTTGAAATGAAAAAGATACATTTTTATTGGTGTTCATTTACAGTCTTAAAGTCTTTTTTTGGGGGGGGGATTGAACTCAGGGCCTTGTGCATTCGAGGCAAGTGCTCTGTGAACCGAGCTATATCCCCAGCCCTAGAGCCTTAATTTTTAAGTTAATTTATTTAATAATATATGGCAATGTGTAATGCCTACTTAGAGAAATCCAGAAGTATTTTTTTATTCAAAAGCAGGAAGCAAATAACACATACCTGTGGTTTTCCAAGGCTTTATATGTATTATTTTTCTTCACAACTTCATGAGATATTAAAGTTCCATGTTAAAAATATCTGATGATTTGAGGTTTTTTTTTTTTAATTTTTAAAAAAATTTTGTTTGTTATTTTTAGATATAGCTTTGAGGTATTTCTTATATTTACTTATGGTCTCATAGCTAGGAAATGGCAGGGTTCAAATCCAACCTAAGTTTCTTCCTAAGCTTGCCTTTTCACCATATTATATGTACCTCATTAAAGAATAATATGTAAATATTAACATTGTACCTATCAATTGTTTGATTTTTACTATATTTTAATACTGTATTGCTTCTTTCCTTCACTCTATTCTATATGAAAATATGTAGTTCGATGTGTTTAAATTTTCTGATTTCCAGGATATAATTTACATTATATTCAACAGATCATTTTTTAATGAAATTATCAAAAAGACAAAATTAGTGTTCAGTAAGTGTCATTTACAAAAATGTCATTCTTATATACTGCCAATCTTAACATAATAGATGAAGAAGATCCACTTAAAATAGCTGCAAAACATTAAGCATTCAGGAATAATCTTATTAAGAAAAACACCAGACAGGATGGAAAAATTACCAACTTCATTGAAAACATGAATAATAAGAGTATAATACAGCCATCCCTCATTATCCATTGGGTGTTGGTTATAGGTACCCCCTCAGATATCATCATCCACAAATGCTCAAGTCACGTATTCCTAATATTAGCATGTAACCTATACTCAACCTATAATATAATTTAAACCATCTCTAGAACTTTATAATACCTCATATAATATAAATGGTATGTAAATAGTTGTTATGCTTTGTTATGTAGGAAATAACAACAAAAAGCATATACTTTCAGATTCAGTTTTTTCCTAAATATTTTTGATCAGCAGTTGATTGAATCTACAGGTGCAGAACTCATGTATAGGGAGGGCTACTGACTGTACTGGACTGGAGAGATGGCATACTATAAAGATAATGATTTTTCTTAAAATATAGAATTAACTCTAATTCAGTAAAATCTCAACAAAGCATTTTAAGGAACTTGCCACTTTATTACAAAGTTAACCTCAAATTACTAGTTAAATAAGATAATCAAAAGAAAGGAGATTTACTTGTTATAAAATATTTTAGGAGATATTGTCACATTATATGAAGCTACAAAGCGATATATCTATTATTGAAGTTGCATAATTAAATTCAAAATCATAACATCCATAGAGTGATGACATTTATATAGCTTAAAATATGTAGTCCTTCATATGGGTAGAAACTTAATATATGATGAAATTTTTTCATATGAATGGGGAAGGGAAAGGTTGGTCAATAAATGTTGATGGGACAGTTGGTTACCTGATTGGATAAATTTTGGCTTCTTACTTCACAATGTATATGTAAATAAATTTTAGATTGATTTAAGAGTAGATTGATATACGAATAGAAATGTGTAAAAAAACCATTAAGTCATACCTGAATTGGAATTGAATAACCATGAATTTCTTTCGAAAATACCATTTAAGCTTGAAAACAGTAGAAGAAATCATACAGGACTGATTTCTATTGTTAACTATAAAAAATTTTAAACTTCTTTTTTTTTAAGAGAGAGTGAGAGAGAGAGAGAGAATTTTAATATTTATTTTTTAGTTATTGGCGGACACAACATCTTTGTTTGTATGAGGTGCTGAGGATCGAACCCGGGCCGCACGCATGCCAGGCGAGTGCGCTACTGCTTGAGCCACATCCCCAGCCCAAAATTTTAAACTTCTGAAAGTTAAAATCAACTATCAAAATTAAAATGCAAACTTTAAAGATGGTTTCAACAAATCAGATAGTTGTTAGTAGTTTTACTAAACTAAAATTTAAAATACTGTTTTATTAATTAGTTACTTAAAAGTACATAAAGAGATGTCATTTCACAAAAGGACAAATAAGTTATGTCCTTTTGAAAAAATGCTTGATCTCATTAGTTATAAAAATAATGAATACTTGAAGCCAGCAAGCTCTCATAATTATTTTAATAGTGAAAACTTAATATTGTGTATCATCTTTGGAAAATAATTTTACAGTATTTGCTGTTCTTGTGTCACCTGCTATTCCTCATGGTTTTCTGTGGATTTTTAGATTATAGGTGGCCCTTATTCATGTACCATATCAATTCTTTGCAGGTAGACAGTAGGGCATACTAAAAAGAAAATGGACTCACTTGTAATTACAAAAAGAAAGGAAAAAGAAACTTTAATATAAAGTAAAATTTAAGATGAAAGTACTTAAAATGATAAAGTATATCTACTAAAAACATGTAGCAAATATTTTTAGTGGTAAAATGTTAGAGGCATTCTCTTTCAAATGAAGAATAAGGGGGCTGGGGTTGTAACTCAGTGGTAGAGCGTCTGCCTAGCATGTGCAAGGCCCAGGATTCAATCCTCAACACCACATATAAATAAATAAAATAAAGGTATTGTGTCCAACTACAACTAAAAAATAAATATTTTAAAAAAAGAAGAAGACAAGAAAGTGAAGATGTCCACAATAAAGATGTAATTTATATGACAATAACACAAAGGATATAGAAACAAGTTTGTATATAGTGTCATTATTAAGTTGGTATTAATAAAAACAAGATTATTTTAAGTTAAGATGTTAATTGTAATCCTAAGAGCTACTCCTTATAACTCAAAAGTGTATAGTAAAAGAAAAAAACAAGGGACTTAAAACAATACACTAGAAAATATCTTTTTAATGTAAACGAAAGCAGTATTGGGAAATAGATGAACAAAAAAGACAAGCTGTTTAGAAATTACTAGCACAATGACAGACATAAGTCCTACTTCATTGTAATTGCTTTAATTATTAATAGATAAAACACTAAGTCAAAAGGCAGAGATTAAAGTAATGGATGAAAAACATGATCCAACTACATATGGTTTTAGAGGCATGTTTTATATTCAAAGATATAATAGGGTGAAAGTAAAGGATTTTAAAAGATACAATATAAAGGAAGAAGCAGGGAGGATTCAAGATGGTGAATCAGAGGCACTCAAAACTCACCTGCTTTTTTACAAGATAGAACCAAAACAACAGGTGTATAGTAGCTTGTTGAGGTGAGTGACTGTGAAAGAGCACTGGAATTCAATAGTAGAGAGAAAAAAAAACGTGGAGAAACCTAGATTTTTGATAACAGAATAGTGGGAGAAATAGAGCTTCCCAGCATCGATTGCATGTTATCATGGCAGGAGGACAGGAGATATCCCCTGGGTGGTGTAGATGAAAGGGAAAGAGTCCCAGTTAGCTCCTCAAGTACAGAATTTGTCACTCAAAGATATGTGGTTTAAAGAGATTGAGACTTCCAACATCTCAATTGCCTCTCCCTCCTGTTGGGTATCTGGGGACATATTACATCATCTAAGGAGTGCCCAGCCCCAAAAGCTCCTGAGAATCTTTGCTTACTGACCACCACATTTCCAGCTAGCTCATTAACATGCTACAATGAAGTAATGTCAGAAAATTTCCCAAATCTTGGGAAAGATGTGGATATCTAGATACAGGAGGCATTTATAACCTGTAGTGGACATGAACAGAAAAGAACCTCTCCATGACGTAGTATAAATTGCCAAAAGTACAAGAAAAAGAATGTTAAAATCTACAAAAGAAAAGCACCAAATCACATTTAAACTAAATCCTGTTAGACTAACAGCAGAATTCTTATCAGAAGCTCTAAAGGGTAGGAGGCCATGGAATGATATATTTCAAGTCCTAAAAGAAAATAACTGCCAACCAAGATTGCAGCACAGTTATTCTTCAGAATTGAAGATAAAATTAACACCTTCTAAGTAAGCATGAACCAAGGGAATTCATGACCATTAGACCAGCTTTATGGAAGATATTTAAAGGAATCCTATATCCAGAAGAGAAAGAAATATAAACACAATTATAATAATAATTTATTCACAATAAAATTACAAGAATAAATTTCATTAGAAGAGTAGACAAATAAATGAGAAGTAGGAAAGAATCAAACATTATAAACACAGTAAATCATTAAACTTCTAAGATATAAGAAATCATTAAACTTCTAAGAATAAGAAAGAAAGAAATAAACACATGATATTCAAATCAATGAAAAGAAAAACAACAAAATGACAGGAACAAGTTAATAATATCCCTGAATATAAATGATCTCGATGCTCCAGTTAAAAGATGCAGGCTGGATAAGTGACTGAATAAGATTTTCCAATTTATTCCATATAGTTTTTCAAAATATTCTCTAATGATCCTTTGAATTTTAATTATTGCTTTAATCATTAATAGATAAAACACTAAGTCAAAATATGTATGTTGTATAACAAGACCCAACAATATGATGCCTATAAGGAAGTCAGATCACCTGTAGTGACATACACAGATGGAAACTGAAAGCATGGAAAATGATATTTCAAA